AAAATCGTTGGGATGAAGGGTTGAAAGTCTTTGGGATGAAGGGTTCAAAAACTTTGTTTCAAAGACTTGGTATGAAGGGCTCAAAGTCGTTGGGGGTGAAGGGTTCCAAAGCTTTGTTCCAAGACTTGGGATGAAGCGTTCAAAGTCGGTGGGAGGCAGGGTTGAAAAGCTATATTTACAGACTTGGGATGAAAGGTTTGTGGAACTAAAGAAAGTTCAAGATCTTTTGCCCACAGACTTGCATGAAAGGTTCAATTTCAATGAAATGAAGAAGGGGTCAAAGACTTTGATCAAAGACTTGGGATGCAGGCTTTAGAGTCTTTGGGATAAAGGGTTCAAAGTCTTTTGTAAGACGGGTTTGTGGAAGGGTTCCAAAGATTTTTTCCATGACTTGGTATGAAGAGCTCAAAGTCGTTGGGGCGAAGGGTTCCAAAACTTGTTCAAAGACTTGGGTTGAAGGGTCTTACTGTAAGTCTTTGCGATAAAGAAGTTGTCAAAATCTTTGATCAAAGACTTGGGATGAAGAGTTCAATGTCGTTGGGATGAAGGGTTCCAGAACTGTATTCAAAAACTTGGAATGCAGGTTTGTAAGTCTTTGGGATGAAGAACTGAAGGGTTCAAAGTCTTTGGGATGAAGAAGGGATCAAACACTTTGATCAAAGACTTTGCCTGAAGGGTTCAAAGTCTTTGGGATGGGATCAATCACTTTGATCAAAGCCTTTGCATGAAGGGTTCACAGTCTTTGGGGATGAAGGGTTTGGGAAGAAAAGGTTTTGAAGCCTATCTATGTTCGTTGCTACTCTTAAATGTCCACACAAACAGAATATGTAGTAAACGAATAGTGCAAATTAGCCCAGCTGGAGATCCCAATAGCAAGATACAAACCGGGACAAAAAGAAAAATCTGGAAACAGCTGCTGTTTTCAACACATCGACCATCTCTTCCTTGGACACCATCATCACATAACCAGGACACCATCACAAAATGACCAGGGCACCATCAAACATGACCGAGACACCGTCGCAACATGATTGGGACACCATCACAACATAACCGGGACACCATCACAAGGTGACCGGCACACCAGCATGACATGACGGGGACACCATCACAACATGACCGGGACACTATCACAACATGACCGGGACACCGTCACATGACCCGGACACCATCAAAACATAACCGGCACACCGCCAAAACATGACCAGGACACCATCACAACATGACCGGGACACCATCAAAACATGACCGGGGCACCGTCGCAACATGAACGAGACACCATCACAACATGACTGGGCACCGTCACAACATGACTGGGACACAATCACAACATGACCGAGACACCATCACAAGGTGACCGGGACACCAACATGACATGACGGGAAAACCATCACAAGATGACCAGGACCCCATCACAACATGACCGGGACACCGTCACACGGCACACCGCCAAAACATGACCAGGACACCACAACAGCACCGGGGCACCATCAAAACATGACCGGGACACCGTCACAACACGACCGGAACACCATCAAAACATGACCGGGACACCATCACGACATGACCGGGACACCATCAAAACATGACCGGGACACCTTCAAAACAGCACCGGGACACCATCACAACATGACTGGGACACAATCAAAACATGATCGGGACACCATCACAACATGACCGCGCCACCATCACATGATCGGGACACCATCAAAACATGACCGGGACACCGTCGCAACACGACCGGGACACCATCAAAACATGCCCGGGACACCATCACAACATGACCGGGACACCATAACAACATGACCGGGACACCTTCAAAACATGACCGGGACACCATCACAACATGACCGGGACACCATCAAAACATGACCGGGACACCATCAAAACAAGACCGGGACGCCATCACAACATGATTGGGTCACAATCAAAACATGATCGGGACACCATCAAAACATGACCGGGACACCAGCATCACATGACCCGGACGCCATCAAAACATGACCGGGACACCATCCGCCCACCAGCTCTGACGGTGACCCGACGGCGCCCGTCCGCCTATTAGTTTTGCAAGCCCCCATAGCATGGCTCTTGGGGAAAAAACGGGGTGTGAGAGAACGGCCTTTGGGCAAAGGCGGGCTGTGGTTACACTAGGGTTTCTATGTGTTTAGGGTGTGGTTGCGCTAGGGTTTTTCTTTGTGTAGCGTGTAATTGCGTTAGGGTTGTTCTTTGTTTAGCGTGTGGTTGCGTTAGGGTGTTTATGTGTTTAGCGTGTGGTTGCGTTAGGGTGTTTATGTGTTTAGCGTGTGGTTGCGTTAGGTGTTTTCTTTGTTTAGCGTGTGGTTGCGTTAGGGTTTTTATTTGTTTGGCGTGTGGTTGCGTTAGGGTTTTCTTTGTTTAGCGTGTGGCCGCGTCAGGGCCTCTTTTCGTTTACGTGTGGCTGCGTAAGGGTCTTTATTTGTTTGGCGTGTTGTTAGGGTTTAGGGTTTAGGGTGTCGATGGTCAAGCGCGCGTGTGCGTTCACGGGGGGGGCTATCCAACCTGCTTTCACGCCCCCCCTCACCATTCACACGCGCGCACGCGTCCGCGGACAAATCCCACCCCCGCTGGCGCTCCACCTAAACCTTAACCTCTTCGGGTTTAGGGTTCTTTGAACCCTCAGGCCTGGCCCAACGACTTCTCTCCCTCAGTTCTCGGCTTGCCCGGACATGGTGCTGCGGAGGGGATAGCCTTGGCGGCGGTCTACGGCGGAAGGGCGGCGCAAGCGAGAGGGAGCGAGCGAAGCGCCGGTCGTCCGCCCGTCGCGAGCGCGTGTCTTGGAGTCTGCAAGGGCAAAAGTATCAGTCAAAGGCTTGGCTTTGGGATTAAAAGGCAAGGTTGGAAACAACGTCGTCAAGCCCAGCGAGCGTTCCAAGGTTTGGCAATGGGCGAGCGCGATCCTGGGGCTCTGCAATGGACGAGTTTCAGTCAAAGGTTTGGCTTCGGGATGACCGTGGGGTCTACCCGAGGATTTGCCACGAAACGCGCCGGTCGCCATTGAAATTTGCTCAGCGGAGGGTAAGCCCAAGGCACAAAGGCAAAATGGTTCACGGCGACCCTTTTCACAAGCGACGGCCTCGCGCATTGAAAGTTCGGGAGGCTTAATTCTTCCCTGGCTCCTTTGTGCTTCTTTCCTTTTTGCGCGAGGCACCAGGGAGGCAGGAAAGGACTCATTGGACAGCTTGCGAGGTACCAAGGAGGCAGGAAAGGATCAATTGGACAGCCTGCGAGGCACTAGGGAGGTAGGAAAGAGCCAATTGGACAGCCTGGGAGGCACCAAGGAGGTAGGAAAGGATCAATTGGACAGCCCGCGAGGCACCAGGGAGGCAGGAAAGAACAATGCGCGCCGCGTGGGAAGCATCGGGGAGGCACCAGGGAGACTCGTCGCACAAGCTTGCCGATCGAATCCCGGTTTTGGAGGGACGTCGGATTTTGTATAACTGTTAATACAATTTCAATGGCGAACGGCCCGATTCGCGGCAAATCTTGGGGTGGATGGAGGCCTCCACAGTTGGCTGCCCGTAGCACAGACTGGCCTCTCGGAACATAGGATTGCTTTTGACAGGGAGGCACCGAGGCACTAGAGAGGCAGGAAAGGATCCATCGGACAGCCTGCGAGGCACCAGGGAGGCAGGAAAGAACCATCTGCGTCGCCTGGGAGGCACAAGGGAAAGTTTTAGCTAAGCAGTCTGTTCGAGGGACGCTCCAAGCCCGTCCTAGGGTTAAGGGTTATTTATTCTAGGGCAAGCTGTCGCTTGCTAGCGCACTGTCGTGCCCGCGGGGCTGAGCGTCCGGGGTACTTTCGTTGCACTCGACCGCTTGCTCCGGCACCGCCTTGCCCTGACTCGGGGCTTCGGCACGCTCGGGCGCCCGTATCGGACGGCGCCCTCGCTTCAGTTTAGGGTATCGATGGTTAAGCGCGCATGTGCGTTCACAGGGGGGGGGGGGGGGTATCTAACCTCCTTTCACGCCCCCCCCCCCCTCACCATTTACACACGCGTCCGCGGACAAATCCCACCCCCCGCTGGCGCTCCACCCAAACCTTAACCTTTTCGGGTTTAGGGTTCTTTGAACCCTCAGGCCTGGCCCAGCAACTTTTCTTCTCGTTGTCGGATCTGGGCGATGCCTGGATGCATTGAAAAGATATAGGGCGGAGGGGCGATGCCTGGATGCATTGAAGAGATATAGGGCGGAGGGGCGGCGCGAGCGAGAGCAAGAAAGCGAAGCGCCAAACCTCCGCCCGAAACAAAGATGCAGTCGAGGCACGCCAATACCAGGGCTGTTGGAGAGGAAGGCGCGCGCATCGCAACGTGGACGGGCGAGCTGCGCCTGCAAGGTGGTGCATGGAGGACGGGGCATGAAACGAAACGTATGTCGAAACGAGCGTAGGCCACGGGCTTTTTCTTTTGCGTTCGTCGTGTTGTCGTGGCGACCGGGTCGCTTGAAACGAGGAGCGCGCGCGCTCCGGACAAAAGTTGAAAGGTAAAACAAATTCATTCATGGTGGACCGGTATCGCTTAGCACGGGCACGAGCGAGGGACCGGCCAAACATACGAAATGGATCGTAGTAATCACCGATCGATTTCGACCGGGCGCCTTCGCCGGCGAAGCACGAACCAATTAATAGCCTCAGGACTCGTCGACCGGTTGAAAGTGCGCGGCGGTCACCACACCACCGACCAGCACGTCCTTGCCAAAGCTGACTCGGTTGAGGGCGGTGTAGGCCGCCCCAGGGACCCCCGGGCAATCCAAGAAGGCCGTGACGTGATTCAGCTCTGCGCCCTGGTATTTGATGATGGTGTCGGCATACCCCGCCTTTAAGGGATAGTAGCTGAGGTTGCCGAGCTCGGGGTCGGTCTAGGGCCACACCATGACCCGGTGTCCCGTGGCTGTCAACACTTCCACGGCCTTGGTGCGACCCTCATAGCCTTGCACCACGCAGGCCATGCCGTTTACGAAGTCGACGTCTTTGCGGACATTGTGCGTGAAGATCGCTCGCATTCCCTTGAAGATGGGCAGGCGGAGCGGGCGCAAGGCGCGCAGGTCTTCTAGCAGGGCTCCGTCGTCGTAATTCTCGGGATTGGAAGCCACATCTCCATCCAGGACCGCGAGCGGAGGGAAGCGCGGAAACAGCTGGAGGGCGAGCTCGTTGATGGTCTGCGCCCCCTTCCGTGTGCAGGTCAAGATCACCGTATCGGGATGGGATTTGAGCAGCTTCTGCACGGCCGCAACATCCAACTTGTGGGGAGGCGTCCAGGCCTTGCGCTTCTGGAACTACTTGAGGGTCTTTGCACCGGGGCGGTTGGTTCGCAGCTCCTGTAGGATCGTGTTGAACTCCGGATCCTTGCAGCGGTAGACCTCATGGAGCTTCACGCGGAAAATCGCGCGCTTCCACTAGGGGCTGTGCCAGACCCGGCGGTCGCCGAAGCCGCACATCTGAAGCTCGTCACCCACCAGGAGGATCACCGGGAAATTGTCGGCTTGGGCCCACAGCTTGCAGACGTGCTCGAAGTGATGGGCCTGCATCTGCGAGATTTCGTCGATGATGACCAAGGCGTACTGCGCCAAGCCGACCGCCGCCGCCCCGGGCTTTTCGTCCAGACCAAAGGCAGCGTGGTAGGTGTCGATGACCACCTCCGGCGGAAGCTTGGCTCGCATGCGGCTGGCTTGCCGGTTCGTGGGATAAGCAAAGAGCACGCTACCCCCGAGCTCTAGCACCGAGCTCTAGCACCCGCTGCAAACACGCCAAGGCCACGGTGGTCTTGCCCGTGCCTGGCCCTCCAGTGCAAGCAAAGATCTTGCCGTTCCGGTAGGCGTCCTCCACCCACGGCTCGGCCGCCTCCTCGTGCTCCGCGGCCTTGGCCGCCATGTAGCGATCCACTGCCTCGTCTACCCGACCCTGGAGGTGCCGCTGCTGCCGATTGAACCGATGGTCCGCCGGCCCGGCGGCAACGGCGGCCGGTTGGTTGGCCTCTCGCCCGGCTTCCTCCGCGGCGGCGTCGGCCGCACCGGACAAGTACTTGTGCACCAGTGTGCGATGAGCGGCCACCATGCCCAGCAATGTCTTCATAAAGGACTTTGTGGTTGCCTCCAGGCGCAACTCCGCCTCAAAGCGCTCCGGGTCGCTCCACATCTCCCTGGCGACCGGGTGCTCGCAGAGGACGGCCATCGCGAAGTTGTGGTGTTCCCTGGGGATCAAGGCCAACTTGTCTGCGATGGGCTCGTAGAAGTCCTCCACCCGGCGGAAGGGGACGTGTAGTAGCAGCCACTGGCCGAAGAAATTGTCATTGAACTTGCTCAGGGTGTCTGCAGCCACGATCTGCTGCCCATGCACCATGAAGTGGGTGGCGAAGGACTCCAAGGTCTCTGCGCTGCCGCTGGCGGCGTGAAGCTTCTTGAGCCATGCCGCAATTTGCCCACTGCGGTTCGTCTTGCGAAGAAAGTCCAGCAAGGAGATGTGGCCGGCGGCCTAAGGCGCGGACATGTATTGCTCGACCTCCGCCGGCTGCCTAGGCTTGTCGGACCACGGCACCTCGAAGTCTCGCTTGCCACGGCCCTCGGTGCTGACAAACCATTGCCGGAAGCGAGCTCTGGCTCGCAGGGCCGATACCGGCAGAGGACTGTGGCAGCGATGGCATTGCCCTGGGCGGAGTCGTTGAGCCATTCGTCCTGACTTGAATCACTGAACTTGCTCACGTATTTGGCCACGTAGGACCGAAGCACCCCATCATCGTCAGACACTTGCAAGTCTTGGTGACAGCGCAAGGCCTCCATGACAGGAAGGAAGTAGGGTCGAAGCCCCTTGGCCTTGTTATCCCGGTTGCGATGAAGCAAGAGAGTGTCTGTGGCCGAGTCCCACTGGCTGCTTTCCATGTGAAGTGGCCATCCGCTGCGACCTGCCCGGTCCAGCTGCGAGCCCTCCACGATGCCCGGCAAGGGATCGTTCTCGTCCAAGGGCTCTGGGAGCGTGGCGAAGACGGACTCCTCGAGCTTCATGCTGCGGAGCGCTTCTTTGGGCGCAAACACGAGGACATGGACATGGGGGCGGCCCGAGCCGTGATAGTCCTGCGTGGGCGCCTTCCTGGTGCCATCCTGAAACTCGATCCGCAAGAACACATGCACCGATTGCGGCCGCCCATCGGAGTCCAAGGCGTGGAGGAGGTGGCTGCGCCACGGATCTTTGGACTTGTTGCCCGTTTGGCCGGCCAAGGCACCTACGCGCGGACACGACCAGGGCCCGAAAGAACGAACGACGAACGGAACGGGCCGAGAATCGCATGCGGTCAGGGGTCAGAGACGCCGGCGAACGAAGACGTCGACACGCGACCGCGCCTCGCACCACTTGCAAGAGCACGTGGGTAATGTGCAGGCTCTCCGGCACGGCCAAGTGCAAGCGGCCGCGCAGCTCTTTGGACATCTCGTCCAAAATCCAAGGCGGATATGGAAAGGACCACTCGTAGGGCGACAGCGTCCAGAAGAGCTTCGGGTAGTCCAGCTGCCGAACCAAATCGATCAGGCCCCAGTGGACAGCTTTCCAATAGAGGGGTGAGAAGGAGTGACCCTTCATGAGAACCCGCATTGGAATGTCGTAGTCGAGGCTTGTGCGTTTCTTCGCCCCCAGGGCAGACCACAAGAACAGATCGTAAGCGAAATGGAGGACGTCGTAGCTGGAGCCGTACCCAATGCGGGCGCTCAAGGCGAGCGCCGCATAGGCTCGCTTGATGCTGTGCCGTTGCCCGTCGTCGCCCGCCTCCTCGGCATCTTCGTTCTCGGAGGCGACGTTGCCGTGCACGAAGTCCTCCATCGTCGGCCCCGCTGCGCGGCCGAGCCGCCGAGCGTCCGTGCTGCGGACCACGGTCAAGCAGAGCGAGTCCTGGTAGAAGAGGTGAGGCCAGACGGCAGTTTCCAACCCTGGGGTTTCGATGTAGGCTAGGCGGCGGCGCCGAGAGCACGCGTCCGCAGTGGGATGCTTGCCCAAGAACTTCTTGTGCTCGGTCTCAAACTTGCGATAGGAGCAACCGTCCGCGTCGAGGAGGAAGCGCCGGGCGGCCAACGCTTTGGTCCGCTGCTCCTCGTCGACGAGGTCCTTGATGCGATCCTTGCTCGACCGGCTGTGCCAGAAGAACCGAGCCATGGTGGCGTGCTGCCGCCGGTAGCCGCTGTTGTGGGCGGCGCGGATCTCAGGGCCCACATCAATCTCCAGAAGGGCCAAGGCTTGGATGCTATCAGGAGCTAGGCCCCGAAGAGCTTCGGGAACATCCTCGGGCACGGGAGCGTTGCAACGAACCTTGGCCTGACAGCGGCTGCATTCGCTCAGCGTTGCCCAGGGTGAAGGTCGAGAGTTGGACATCCGCGAGGGCGTCAGAGGCATGGGCACCATCGAAGAACACACCCGGCACATGCCCCATAAAGTGTTGCAACACCAGTTGTAGATGTCCAAGGCCAACTTGCTCCGCTTGGGTGGGGGGAGCCCAGTGTCATTGGAAACCTCTTCTCCTCGAACGGCTCGGCCCGCCAATCCGAAGTGTCGACGGGCCCGGGCCCGGTCGTCCAGCACCTCTTGCCGATACTTTTTCTTGGCGCTCGCGGAGGCCGGAGCTGTGTGCGACGAGCGCTTGCCCACGACATGTGCCCAGGTGTCAGCAGCCGCAGCGGGGCGCTTGCGAGATGCCCGCTGCAAGCCTCGCCCCGGAGCGCCGGCCAAGGCAAGACGAAAGTAGGCGCGGTGTTCTTCGCCCAGCCTCTCTTCCACAGCCTTTTCCCGGGAAGCCGCCGCCATGCGGCGAAGCCACGGCAGCAGCTTGTCACGGCCGGCGGCGGTGGCGCACGCCGCTGTCAGCGCCTCTGCGTCGCAGAAGGTGCACCGGGCTTGCTTGCCCTTCAATTGCACAGGCCGCCCAGCGTCGGCCTCGGCAAAGACGCAAGCCTCGCCGACAACGCCAGGGCAGTAGTCCGCTCGTGCAACCATGGCCTCGAAGGCAGCACGGAATCCCGCGGGCACCCTGCGAAGGGCTCGTTGCTGCTGCTCCGCGCCCATGGCCTTGAGTGCCTTGCTCAGATTCGCCCGTCCGGGCTTGGTGTCAACGGCCTTGGCCATGCGATCTGCACTGCACCACACGCAGCGTGTGTACCCGCCGCCGGTCTGCAAGGCTCCACCATGGAGGCCGAAGGCGCATGCCAGCCCGTCGATGCCCGCGCACTTGGTCGGCATGGCGCGGGTGGTCTCTAAGGCCACGGGTCGAAAGCTTCGAGCACAAACATGCTAAAAACACGAATCAGAAGCTAAGATTGCCAAGAAAGGCGAAACGCGCGCGCAGGTCAGTTCCCGGACGAGCGAAGACGCGCCCAAAGACGACATGGCCGATCGCGAGCGGGCAGCGTGGCGGACGCGGCGCGAGAGCGGCGCCTTCTTTTCGGAGCCGTCATCGGCATCGAGGGCCGCGCAGCCAGCGACGAGGAGACGGCGTCTGCCAGCAGCGGGCCACACGCCGTAGCCGCAAGCCGCCAAAGCCAACCGCATACCTGAAGCAAGCAACGGTGTGCAATTTTTGTCCTCCGTTCGTCCGTCAGTTTGCCTGTCTCTGTCTATGTGTCTGTCTGTTAGTCTGTCTGTCCGTTTGTCAGTCTGTTTGTCTCTCGGCTTCGGTCTGTCTCTGTCTGTCTGCTCGTCTGTCGGTCTCTCTGTGTGTTTTGCCGGTTGCCCCTCGCGGGCCCCATTCCCAAGCCCTGGCTGAGCCAGACCAAGTCCAACTCCCAGGAGTGCATGCCAGGCATCCTTCGGGCGGGTGGGTGGAGCAGGAGAAGTATGGCACCGGTATCGACCTGTGAACCTATGTTTCTGGCGGCCCGCCTGGCGAGGAGCAAGCGCCAGCCCTAAAGTCTTAGGAGGCTCGCTGGGTCACCGGCCGCCCGGGGAGGGCGACAGGCGCGCCCGGGCGCTACTGCCTAACCTTAAGGTTTTGAAAAAACGCGCCCGGAGAAAAGCGACCGGACATGACCGCCAAAAGGCACCCAGAGACTGGATTCGGAGGGTGCCGGCTGGGCGTCCGGAGGCCGCCGGCGGCCAGTTTTAGTAAAGAATGTAATCGTCGTAGATTGTCTCCGGCCGGTCTCCGGTCCAGTCTCCGGCCGGTCTCCGGTCCGGGTCTCCGGTCCTCTCCGGTTCTCCGGCCCGGGTGCCGGAGAATTTCTCCGGCCGGTCTCCGGTCCAGTCTCCGGCCGGTCTCCGGTCCTCCGGTCCCGGGCGCGGGCGGGACCGGAGACCCGTTTTCTCCGGCCCCGGACGCGGGCAGGACCGGAGACCCGTTTTCTCCGGCCCCGGGCGCGAGCAGGACCGGAGACCCGTTTTCTCCGGCCCCGGGCGCGGGCAATCCTGTGCTACGAGGGCGCTTTTAAAGGCAATCCTGTGCTACGAGAGGGCGCTTTTAAAGGCAATCCTGTGCTACGAGAAGGCTTTGAAAGGCAGTCCTGTGCTACGAGGGCGCTTTTAAAGGCAATCCTGTGCTACGAGAGGGCGCTTTGAAAGGCCCTCCTGTGCTACGAGGAAAAGCAATCCTGTGCCACGAGGAGGGCTTGAAAAGCTGTGCTGTGAGAGGGCTGTCAAAGGCAATCCAGTGCTACGAGAGGTGTGCTACGAGAAGGCCAAGGCTTTTAAAGGCAATTCTGTGCTACGAGAGGGCCTTTAAAGGTAATTGTGTGCTACGAGAGGGCTGTTAAACGCAATCCTGTGCTACGAGAGGATGCTCCACATCCGTCCTGGGGTTAGGGGTTACTCATTCTAGGGCAAGCTGCCGCTTGCCAGGGCACTGCCGTGCCCGCGGGTGCCTTCGCTGCGCTCGACCGCTTGCTCCGGCACCGCCTTGCCCTGAATCGGGGCTGCGGCACGCTCGGGCGCCCGTATCGGACGGCGCCCTCGCTTCAGTTTAGGGTTTTGCATCTTCGAGTGGGCTCGCTTCGCTCGCCCTCATGAATTGTCTTCTCCCACCCCCGCTTGCGCTCCTCCCACGTCTCAACCTTTTCGGGTTTAGGGTTCATTCGAACCCTTGGCGGGGGCCCGGCGCAATTTCTATTTTTCGAAGATAAATTCCACGAGCTCGCGCCGCGAAGTTCGAGAGGCGAGCGGAAGGTCGGAACGAGCGAGAGATCGAGCGAAGTTCCGGCCGAACGCGAAGTTAGAGGGTATCTCGCTACTTGCGCAACGTGGGGGCATATTGACGCCGACGCGGGCCCCTGACGAGAGGGTTTAGGGCAAGAGTCCACGGAGAAACCGGCCCGCAAAAGATCGTTGTTTAACCGGAGACAGCCGGCGGTGTAGGTGCCAACCAGCCGGTGGGTTCAGATGCCAAGCAAGCCTTTATTAAGCGAATTGCTCGACCACCGTGGGGCGACCCTGGGATTTGCAATGAAACGTGCGTGCTCAGCGCCGCCAATTGCGCCACCAGGGAGCCACCAGGGAGGCAGGAAAGGCCCATTTGGACAGTCTGCGAGGCACCAGGCAGGCAGGAAAGGATTAATTGGACAGCCTGCGACGCACCAGGGAGCAGAGGCACCAGGGAGGCAGGAAAGGACCATTTGGACCACCTGGGAGGGACTAGGGAGGCAGGAAAGGACCAATTGGACAGCCCGGGAGGCACCAGGGAGGGAGGAAAGGACTAGTTGGACAGCTTGGGAGGCACCAGGGAGGCAGGAA